GCGCGCGCGCGCGCGCGNGTGTGTGTGTGTGTGTGTGTGTGTGTGTGTGTGTGTGTGTGTGTGTGTGTGTGTGTGTGTGTGTGTGTGTGTGTGTATGCATATGTGTGTATATTTATATATATATTTAAAAATATATATATTTCGTTTCTTAACGTATGGACGTAAAATATAAGACGTCTCTGTAACTCAAGAGTCTATTTCAATTCGTTAACATATATTTATATGCGAGATTCGAGCTTTACTCTGTATTTTATCATTCTGGCTAACCTAATCTCACTAACCACCCATTGGTCGGTATTGATTGGATATGCTTCTGCACATCAGCCCTCCATACACCAAACGACAGCTGAGACTAGTACGCGGAGGAGAGCTATTCCTTGCAATCGACCACAACTACAACAACACGCATCCGATCGGAACGGACAGGACAATGTAGATGAGACAAACACACGATTGCAGTCATTCTTCGATATGGATGCAGATGAAAGCATGTATGACAATGGATATACAATGGCCACAAATAGACATATAGCGGATGTTATCGATAAGGAACCCAAAGGAAGTGTTCGTGATGGGGATCATTCAACGAACGCCGGTACGCGGATGCATTTACTATACGAGGCGAGCGATAGTGAAAACGTGCATGATGACGATGAAAGTCTGACTGAAGCAGCAATGGACGCTGACCGCAGCAATACCGATCAAGGCTATGACGGAGAGACTGAGCCTGCGGCATCCACAGATCCGTTGCACACTGAGCCTGTCAAGAGCTTGGAAGATGGAGGAAACGGTGCTTTGAAACGATTGACGGGTGCTTATTCTGGGCGAGCGAATGGTGTGTATGTGTTTTGATCCCCTTCTCGGTTCTTGAGTTTCGCTCTATTGGTTTTATGTACATAACAGCTCTCTTTGAGCACTGATGGTGTGTATGTGTTCCAATGAGAAAGATTCTCGCTTGGTTATGTCTTGATAGTCCGATGTTAGACGGTATGTGTCACACAGTTCGGAATGATATGATTCGTGTTTGATCTTTGTCAGCCAACATGTCCATCATTGTAGAAACAATCCAAATTTATACATGCGTAGATGTGTACTTTCATCTTCCCATATATGTGTATCATGTAACATGTCTTGTGAAGGAATTGTTGCTTGCCGTGGGGAACTGTACTACTTTCTTTTTTTTATGTACTGCATTCGGTACACTGTATATGCGCTTTCTTCTGTGCTTTGTTAATCGACAACAAGTCGGTCTTAGCGAGTCCGCACACGCTGACGTGGACATTCGAACCGCTTTGTGATTGCGCTAAAGAACATCAGTCTGCAGCTACTTACAATGTAGAGTTCAAGACAATCTAAGTGCACAACTATATTTTTGCTAGATCACTACATATCGTCGTCATCTAATAGACCAACCAAACGTTGATATATTGATCGAGAACTTCACTTAACCCCTAAACCCAAATCCTAATGATGTACTCTCGTTCCAGCGGCACTGAAAATTGGCTCACTGAGCGCACTAGACAAATTAATAGGGGCTTCCAAACCATCAATCAACTACACTTCACAGCCACGGCACCCAAATATAGGACAGATTAACAATGCTGGTACGTTACGGTAACATTTGTAATTAAACCCTATTTAAGATATAGTACATACGGCCCTGTAGTCGAGAGTTTTGCTACACTAGTAGACGAAAAACACATAAGGTATACCTCTGTATCAAGCCTTTGCATAGTTGAGAATCCATATTTGCCTTTTTTTTTCTTCCTACTTGGATATCTGACACCGCCCGCACGTACGAGAGCTTGCACTGCTGATGGGTTAGGGTTGGGCGCATTTGCGCAACTGTACTTTGTGCAGCGCTCTGTGTGATGTGAAAGATCAGTACATTGGAAGTGCCTCACCGATCTAACCATAAAGATATACGAGGATTAAAAACATCGTCTTGGATACTGTACGTATGGTTTCCTTTGGTGATAAGCTTCTACTTTATCAAAGTACACTACAACCTGCTCCTACATGTCAATCTCAAGACAAGCAGCAGTTGTCAACTCAACATTTGTAAGTGTTAGATTTTGGCATGTCGTACACATAGCTCAGCTAGGTGCTCGTGTAGTGTTGCCCAGCATGAACACTCCTGATTACCTCAATGTGTTTCATCTGTCTCTCAATTGCCTCCTTAACCAGTCCACCAGTCCTATCTACAATCGCTCACTCCGATTACTAAAATCCATAGCCCCTCCAGCAGTGGTTGCAAACGCTCGCATTCGATCCTTCAAGCCAGTCATTTTGAATGCGAAGGCAAAGCGAAAGCTGGAATTCCCGTCGCAAGACGACATCTTGACTTCGAGCGGTGCTGCTATATTGCAGCGAGTACTGACTGTACCTGCTGGATTTGATAAGTGAGTTAGTTGTGCTAAATGTGTGGACTGTTTACCTTCTAGGCGACCTCAGATCCCGTTTTCATTACTTCCACTGATAACGCACTGAATATGAGTATTCTGTCGGAGTAGAATAGTCCAATCAGCGACACGCCTCTGATGTCACAATTATTGCGTAGATATAAACATCGTGTTGCCGAAAAAATACTCTCAACGAAATATGCACCAAAAAGATTGAAATGACTGTAACGCAAGTACGGAGACAATGTACAATATA